TTACACTAAAATTATATGTTATGATAAAATTTGGAGGCGCACTTTAATTGGATTGTTTAAGGTTGCAACCTTATATAAACCATACCCTATTCTATTTAGAGATTGTATACAATGAGGCTATTTATCTTTGATATAAAATGGTCTCAATTATTTACAACCATCCGACGTGAAATTTGATAGCTTAGATGTGCCACATCGATTGTCTAAAGTTCCGTACAAGGTACGGGTTGCTAGTTTGGTTTATGTGAAACTTGTTTAAAACACATTTATAGGCATCATCATTTAGGATCTAGTCTAAGTCTTTTTTACTTCCTTTTTTTTACCAATGTTAACAATTTTATTGATTTAAAGAGAGATCTAGTCTAGGTCCTATCCATTTAAAGACTTACAATGTACGTGAGATATGTAGGAGTGTATGCAAACACATGGGAAAAATGTGTGACTGGTACCTTGGGAAGAAAGGATGGGATTGATTTCTAGCAATGAGATTTCAGTGACTACTTGGCCCTTGGCCTTACATTAGCTGAGGCCAGTGACTTGGGGGAGACCAAGTTACTCGTTCTAAGTCTAATATACCGCCAAAAATCTTGAAAAAATCAAAAGAAAAAAAAAATATATAAAGCAAAATAAAGTTGAAAAAATAAAATAAAACAAAATGAAAGACAACATTAAAAATTCCAAATACAATGAAATATATATATATATATATATATATATATATATATAGTAATTTAAAATTAGTATTTAAGTTAGGGTATATATATATATATATATATATATATATTGGAGTGCGAGTCTGAGTGTTTGAGTGCTTGTCTAAGTAAAAGTCAAAGTGTTGTAAGTTTGAATATGAGAGTTTCAGTATTGATCTGAGCACTTGTGTATTGAGTGTATATACTTGAGCAGAAGTGAACTACCCTAGTGGTGTATCGAGCTTCTCTTATCTGTATCAAGCTTATCTTATGTAAGTTTTCTGAGCAGAAGTGAACTACCCTAGTGGTGTATCAAGCTTCTCTTATCTGTATCAAGCTTATCTTATGTAAGTTCTATGTTCCTATGTTTTATTAGTCCTGGTTCTATTGTTCATGTTGTGCTGTTTATTATATTCTTGTTGCATGTTCTTGTTGCTTTGCGTTTTATTGTTCTGATTCTATTAATTAGTTAGGTATTTCTACTCCGATGTTATGGTATCAGAGCCAAGTTCTATTCAGTGATGAACTGATTAATTGTGCGAATTTAGATTTTTTTAAGTCAAATCTAAAGTCACTGCGACCCGAGGATCGATGTTGAGCCAGAAGGCAGGAAAGGTGTAGGGACTGTTTCTAGTTGACTCAGATTAAGACTATCAAATCTCTTATAGTAAATTTGTTCAGAACACTATCTAGTAGGACAGCTTCTACCGGCACACTTCATGTAAATAGTAAGGAAGAAGTTATTATTAATAATATCGAAAAACAAATCCAAAATTGGAACATCCCAAAAGTTCCTATAACGAATGTTTATAAAAAGGGGACTTTTGATTTCATAAGTAGTTTCTCAATTAAAATTATTGAGAAAACTATTTATGTTATGGAAACTCAAGATAGTTTTCAATTCCCATCCTCAATGATGGTTGAAGAACATAAAAGAAAAGATTTTAACTATCTGCATATTGGCTTAGTCTAGATAGCTGTTAAAACCTTTAACCAGGACAGGGTT